ACTAGCCGGGCGAGGTGGCGGGCGCCTGTAGTCCCAGTTACTCAGAAGGCTGAGGCAGGAAAATGGCCTGAACCCGGGAGGCGGAGCTTGCAGTGAGCTGAGATCAGGCCACTGCACTCCAGCCTGGGCGACAGAGCGAGACTCCGTCTCAAAAAACAAAACAAAACAAAAAAAAACACAGATCAGTATGTATAAGACCAAATGCTGTTCTGGTAATTTCACAGTAAATGTACAAGAAGGCTGGAGTCCTTGAGGAAACAGATCTCAATCTTCGGGATGCCTGAGAATCATCTTCTTAAAATGCAGATTCTCAGGTCTGCCTCACAGAGTCTTGATTCTGTAGGGAATAAGGAGGCTCAGGAATCTGCATGTTCCTGCAGGTTTTTCTGATGCTGGAGGCCCAAGTACTCCACTGCCCTGGGCTGGGTCCCAGCTCATTAATATCACAGAAGGCCCTCTGTGCAAAGCCCAGAGATGGTCAAGTCCCAGTCTACTTCCTTCCTCCCCCAAACTTTCGATCCACTTTTTCTGGTCATCCATTCAGAAGATATATAGAGGCCCATGGTGTGTGGTCCCTGGACACAGGGGATAAGAGAAAACCAGCAGAATGACAGAGTGAGAGGAGACACAGGAACAATTACTACACTGTGAGCTCCACAAGAGCTGGCCTCATTCTATCTTGTTCCCATTCTACCTTGTTCTGAGCCCAACACGGGTCCTGGCACACACCAAGTGTTTTTAAAATGTCTGAGGAGTAAATGAATGAATGACCAATCTCAGCTGAGGGAAGGAAGTCTTATTGTCCAGCATTGCAGAGGGCGCCCTGGGAACCCAAAGCAGGAAGCAACTGGCTGCCTGAGAGGGTGAGCGGGGTCCCTAGAGTGGGTGGCAGGACTAGTAGGAGCTGCGGAGGGTTTGCAGGTATAGCGACCCGTGTGCGCATCGAACGATCTGGCGGCGCGGTGAGCTCGGCACTCACTTCCCTGTGCAGGTCCCCTCCACCTCGGTGAAGAGCTTCTGCTTCACCGTGTTGAGCAAGTTGGGGCCGAAGTAGCGCGGGTGCAGCAGGATTTCGTGCTCTAGGGAGATCTGCGGAGAAAAGAGGGATGGCGACCAGGCCACGCGCTGGGAGCTTATCGGACGACAAGGGGAGCCTCGCGCCGGCGCCTGGCCTTGCTCCTCCTTTCCACCCAGCCCTTGCCGCCACCCTGGGCCCTGCTCACATGGTAGAACATCTTCCCAGAGCATGAAGGCAGGAACAGTCCACACCTCCGACCGCCCCTGGGAATCTACCGGAAACACACTTAGACGCCGCAACCCCAGTTCCGCGCCTGCTGCGTTGTTGAGAGCGGAACTCCACCTCCTCCGCGAGGGCGGAACTCCACCTGCTCCACGGGTCTGATTGGGCCTTGTAGCCGTGGGCGTGAACCACTAAGCCCCGCCCCTCACCACCGCCCCGCCTCACCACCGCCCCGCCCCACCACCGGCCATCAAACCACAACTCTCTTTTTTTTGTTTTGAGACGGATTTCGTTCTGTCGCCCAGGCTGGAGTGCAGTGGCGCGATCTCGGCTCACTGCAAGCTCCGCCTCCCGGGTTCGGGCCATTCTCCTGCCTCAGCCTCCCCAGTAGTTGGGACTACAGGCGCCCACCACCGCGCCCGGCTAATTTTTTGTATTTTTAGTAGTGACGGGGTTTCACCGGGTTAGCCAGGCTGGTCTCGATATCCTGACCTTGTGATCCGCCCGCCTCGGCCTCCCAAAGTGCTGGAATTACAGGTGTGAGTCACAGCGCCCGGCCAATTTTGTGTTTTTAGTAGAGATGGGGTTTCTCCATGTTGGTCAGGCTAGTCTCAAACTCCCAACCTTAGGTGATCCACCCACCTCGGCCTCCCAAAGTGCTGGAATTACAGGCGTGAGCCACTGTGCCCGACCAGCAACTCTCTGAATTGCTTGAACCTGGGAGGCCACTGCACTCCAGCCTGGGCAACAAAAGCGAAACTCCATCACAAAAAATAATAATAATAAATAATAGCTACCACTTACTGCTTTCTTCCTAAATGCCAGACACTGTGTTAAGCCCTTTATATAATTATCTCCCTTAATTCTCATAATAATCTACAGAAATTGGTGTAGAAATAACAAAAAATTTACATGAGCCTTAGTCGAAAGGCCAGGAAGCTACAGAAAATAATGAAATTTAGGCTGGGCGCAGTGGTTCACGCCTGTAATCCCAGCACTTTGGAAGGCGGAGGCGGGCAGATCATGGGGTCAGGAGATTGAGACCATCCTTGCTAACACGGTGAAACCTCGACTCTACTAAAAATACAAAAAATTAGCCGGGCGTGGTGGCACGTGCCTGTAGTCCCAGCTACTCAGGAGGCTGAGGCAGGAAAATCGCTTGAACCCGGGAGGCGGAGGCTGCAGTGAGCTGAGATCGCGCCACTGCACTCCAGCCTGGCAACAGAGCAACACTAAGAAAGAACGAAAGAAAGAGAGAGAGAGAGAGAGAAAGAAAAAATTTAAAAGCTATTGCAATCCCAAAAAACATTTTAAGCCTCGAGAGAGACATGACTGTGAGTCACATATAGTTTACAACTTCTGTTCTCAGATTATAGATTAATTCACTTTCTTTTTTTTCAGAGGGAGTCTCGCTGTGTCACCCAGGCTGGAGTGCAGGAAATCCATGACTAGGCCGGGCGCGGTGGCTCAAGCCTGTAATCCCAGCACTTTGGGAGGCCGAGACGGGCGGATCACGAGGTCAGGAGATCGAGACCATCCTGGCT